TATATATACATATGTGTGTATGTATATATGCATATAAGTATCTGTTCTTATATATATGTATATATATATATGTATATATATATATATATCATGTGCATATATTATATATAGATGTACACATGTCTCGGGGTTATGTAAATATATATATATATATATTAATATATGTATATATATATATGTGTATACTGTATATATATATATAGGCAGCTGTACATCGACCTAGAGCCTAGAATATTTATATCACTATATATATACTTAAACTATAACACCCGATATTATGTTACCGCTTGCTTCACTCGGACTAAGTACATATTTGTATGTGTATATATTTTTATGTAGATATGTGCTTGTACATGTTTTCATACACACACACATAAAGAGAGAGATATATATATATATATACACACATATCTGCATGTATATATTTCAGATACATGCATACACATATAAAACTATATAGTCATAGAACGGTACGAAGTAGGATTATATATATATATATGTATTGTGTATATGTGATATGTTGCCCTATATTTTTATAGCCATATATGTAATGCCACAGCCCAATAAAGAAAGCAGCATCGATGCAGTTCAAGGTTCTCAGTGTCCCTCAAGGATTGTTTTCCAGTGAAAGCCAGCTTGCCATCCTTCTCGTGGTACCGTGTGGGCCTAGCCCTCTGTTTCGGTTTTACTTGCAGTGGGCTCCTGTTGATGAGCCGGATATTTGGTGAATTACTGTAGGCATACTGTCTCTTCAATGTCTTCGCAAAGAAAGCGCCCATATACCAGCCGACCCGGTTTACCTCAGGGATCTGCAAACTTAAGCTAGCCCAATATAATGATATTTAGAAAACCTATAAACCTATAAACCCTAAACCCTAAAACTCTTAACCTTGTAAACCTATAAGCCCTGTAAACCTATCAAACCTGAACACTAAACCCGTCTTGAAAATCCTTCGGCTTGCAGGTGTGTGGGGTCGAGCTGCAGCAGCCGTTCCGTCGATGCTGATGAGGCTCGTGCACAAGCGTCGCCAAGAGGGGTAGTATTCGACTGCAGAGCCAGCTGGCTGCTCCAAAATGAAACAGCCGCCAAGAGCAGTCACTAAGAGGCATAGCAGGTAGACCCTGTCAGGGCCCCGGCTGAGTCAGGGTTGGCAAGGTTCATAGGGTCTACATATAACTATATTTAATATTATATACGTATATGTATATATATATTGCATATATATTTGATATTGGTATACAGTAGTATAGGAAGACCAACTACTGGTTGCATACCTATATACACATCTATATATATATATACATATATATATATATATACTGGTATGTAATAATAGAGGTCTTGTATGCACTTATAGGCTGTATGATAATAATAATTTAATATACATAATGGGATGTAGCTCTCATTTGGGTTTATATATTTAGGGGGTTGGCGCTTGCCAGCAACTTCAGAATAAGAACCACGATGACTCTAGCCTACAGAGTTCTCTATTGGCTATAGTATAAATATTCATTGACTACACCAGACTGCATGGCTTAATTTTGGTGGCCTCTCCAACATACAGTTTCCATCTTGAACCGTCCGTTGATGGTTGTAGCCGGTACTGGAAGAAGGACTTCTCCCAGAAGTAGCACGATTCATCCCACACCAACTTGAGCACTTCAACCCGAACCACGCCACGAAGTCATTCTTGCGACAGTTCAGCAAGCAAATGATGGCCAAACTTAGTTCAATCTTTCTTAAACACTTCAGATAGAAGCCGGAGAGCAATATCGCATAAACCCTTAGCCTAGCTTATCCTATCCCAGCAGATTAAGCTTAACCAGTCTTACGAAACGCCTCTCAGAGCCCCAAGCACCAAACCTCAAAAGCAAAACCCCTGAGTTCGATCCTCATGACACAGCGAGAGACCGAGGGAGACAGAGAGTGAATGAATGGGTGAGCAACAGCCCGACAGAGGAGAGGGATATAGCAGATCGGAGGAACCAGACAGAGAGAGAGAGAGAGGGAATGTTTGTGCGCCATGCATATACACATGTACACATGTATATCTACTTGTCTTGATTTGCACGGCTTATTTCCATGCGTGTCGTTTCTATATCATCATACCACATGACTGTCAGGAAGAAAGATGCAGTAGCAGCCTAGCAGCCAGAATCCAGAGCACGAGTTTATGTCCATGTAGTCAGACTTGCACTTTTTACCACTGGACTTCTTCTTCTTCTTATCAGGCTTGCTGTACTCGAGATCCAGCTTCAGACCGGAGGCACCACGAACACGGGCTGCACTAGTGCAATTAGCACGGCCAGCGAAGAATTCCACCCAGTCGTAGGCCTGCATACAAGAAAATTGGCCGGGTTATAGTTGGGGCTTATAGTTCTCCGTGGACTGCTCTGTTCGTTCTGGAAGGACTGCTGCTGGCCTCCAAACCCACATCGTAGAGGCCCTCGGCCCATGTGATCATGAGAACGATCAGGATGAAGTCCTGGTTTGGCGGGGAGGGTTTTTGGGGCCGAAGTATAATCATATAGATTTGTGGGCCAGTTTTGGGTTCGGAGATTGCAACTAAATGGCTATATGGAGTTGCAGCATGATGCTTATGGTTTTTGGCGGATCTACAGAGATGAGTACCATTTACTCGGGGCAACTACATAGTAGGGTGTGGAAAACAAAAGTCTACAGGGATCGAATGCACATAAGATGTTCTGAGGATTGTGCTTCTGGCTGGTAGATCAAGAAATATATGAAACGTTGGCTGGGGCCTAGACCCCCCGGACTACACAAGACCTGAGAGGGATGATTTTCTAATTCAGCATTTATTTGGGCTATGAAATATAAAAATATACTAGCTGGCAATTACATGGTTCCATCCGACGTAAACTATGGTTCAGGGTTTCGACTTCTAGGGTTTCTTACATCGATCTATCCTCAACAACAGCCTTGGCAGGTAAAGGATCCCTCCCAACCCCAAGAGCCCTGAACCCATTTCTACGGAACCCTCTAGACTCTATAGACCTCGCCGTCTTGTAGTCCCATAGCACCGGCTCTCCCAGTCTTAGCTACGGGCACATTGGCAAAAACACCTGGAATCATTTTACAGGCTTCGGGGGGGGCGGTGGGTGCATGGGGGGAAGGCAACTCCTACAGAAGCAACCAAGCGACCCTCGGCGCACGAAGCTTCAGCAGCTTGCACACAAGCTCATCGATCGGAACCATGATGGATTTTCTACACACCGCACAAACCCCGACCTATAGAACCCAGAGCAAGCACCAGCTCCTATGGCATGTAAAAGCCCATAACTAACAGTAATCTTCGACATATCGATCTGTGTTAATGTGTGTATACACATATGTACAAATACCACTGTCTACACATGTATATATATATATATATACAAACATGCATGCATACTGCATACAGATGTTCTAAGGAACGTTTAGAAACACAACATGCATATATATATATATATACATATATATATATATTCATGTGCATGTGTATATATATATATACATACATATGCACATATAATGCAATGTACTAGTGAGACTAGTGCACTAGCTAGTGTAATCATGTTGTCTATGCATGTATCAAATCGACACTGAAATACGGCTTCGATCAGCAATCAGCGTTGCGGCTGCAAGCCACAATGCAACAACAAACAATCAAATCTTCATAGCAGCTAGCTGCAGACATGCAACCAGAAATGGCTCTCGAAGCCTATATAGAAACATGTCCGGATTGCGCTTCGCGTCCAATTTGCGCCTCTTGTGTCGCCTGGAGTACGACTGCTTTCGGCCACTGCGTCTGCGAGCCATGACAAGGACCTCGGACGGTGTTGGTACTTATAAGGGGGCAGTCTGTATATATGCGTATGTAGATGCATGCGATAAATCCGAATGCATGCTCCTGCCAATGACATTAGCCGAAATTCTTCCCGATATGTTTTCTCTCCTGGTTCCCCAGACTTGCTCAGAATGCCATCTTTTAAATCCAAATCGCACTGCTTCTGCATGCGACCGGGCACCAGCCAAAAAACGGAGCTTCGCAACCTATATACATATAAGTCACCTAGACCGGCCTATGACTGTACGAACACACATGGCTTTGGATGATAAGCAGTAAGTGCAATTGTGACTTTATGGTTGCAATGCTGATACAGGCGAGCAGCTTGCTCCGAATCTTGGCTACGTGTTCCAAAACCTAGCCTGCTCCATCAAGTGCACGCACAGCACTCTCTTCGCCTATCGAATCCCACACAAAGACACGGGCTAGGCAGTGCTCTTCCAATGCCCACCCCGTCGGCTCCCAGCACTGCTACCGTGCATGCAAGAGACTCGAGAAAGATTGTAGCTGAGCACATACATGGATATATACAGGTTCATCGCTCGGAAATTTCTAGAATTTTTGAAACTCATCGATGTTGTGTGAAAATCTCCATCGCCTGAGCACCGATGTCCTTCCACTTCTGTTTGATCGCACTGATGTCGTGCTCCTCCGTGTCAGGATGCACGATCTCCAGCGCCTCCAGCTCCCATGCCTTGGCCGGCAACCGGATATCCCACACCATGGAACTAGCTCCCCTAACCCATGAATTTAGGAACGACACACCATTCGCTGTTTAGCACAACTGTATAAGAGGTAGTTGGAAAAGTGCTCAGTTTCATGTGCATGCGTATATTTATATATATATATATAGCATATAGCATATATTTATGTTTATATGTGTATAATACACATATATGGCAGTATATAGTATATATATATATATATATATATTTTCAATGCATTGTAATATTTTATTTATAAATCTATGAATATATAGTTGAATATTCTTGCTATATCTAATGTAATAACATACACCAGCTTATTCTACTCGGCTGCAGCAAAATTGCCATGAAAGCAGCCGTGGCCACTGCGATGATCATGCCATGCACACCCTTCTCATAGAAGAAATGGCCCACATCACGGGACTGGCGATTGTCGCTCTCGTCCACGTACCGAAGGGAAACACCGCAAGAGCTCTTGGTCCAATACGGGTTCAGGCGCAACGGGGTGGAGAAGCTTGGGAGGAGCTGCTTCAAGGTCTCCTTGTAGTCGGCTGCCAACAGATCAACCTGCGTGGTCCAATCAATGATTTTCTCCACTGCCTCCGCCTCTTCCTGGGCTTTCTTCTTGGCCGACTTGCCTTTGGCCTTTGCCTTGGGGGCGGACTTGGGGGCCTGCTTGGCCTTGGCTTTCGCCTTCGCTGTCGCCTTCGCTTTCGCCTTTGCCTTTCCCTTGGCCGTTGGCTTGGCCTTGGCTGTTGCCTTGGCTGTTGCCTTCGCTTTGCCCTTCGCTTTTGCCTTCGGCTTGGGCCCCTGGCACTCCTCGAGGTCCATTTCGGGGGCCTTGGTCTTGTGCAGGCCCTCTTCGGCCTGCTCAGCATCGGCCCCGGGCTCCTCCCAAACATCGTCACCGACCCCACCCCAAGAGCCTTCCGTCCAATCCCCTTCCCAGTCCTCTCCCCCATGCTCATACCCCTCGCCGTCTGTCTCATAAGTCCAGTCTGCTGCTGCAGACTTGGCCTTTTTGGCCCTTTTAAGCTTGCTCAATCCTGACCTCGAGCGCTTCAGCTTCTTGCCACCCTTTGCCATGCTGGCCTTCGTCTCACTCTTCCCACCCTTGGCCTTGTTGGCCTTGTTCTCGTTCTTCTTGCTAGTGCGCATGCCAAGTTGGTCTCTTCGCAGCAAGACCTTTTCCTGCGTACACGAGACAGAGAAGGTGTGTACATATATATATATATATATTCTGAATATATATATATATATATATACTTATATATACACTGAAGGGAGCACCAATAATACATCTGTAAGTATGCATGCATGCATGCGTATATACATGCATATATGTATATGTAAATGTATTCAGACTATATCTAAATAGAGCTGTATATGTGTATGTTCATATATATATATATATACATGATAAGTTTTTTATAGAAGTAATCATGCAGATATGTAGCTGTAGATATATCGATCTCTATATTAATGCAGATATTGTAGGCATGTTTAAATACATGCGTCTATACGTAGTATACCATTCGCAGGTAGCTGTCACATGCAGGCGTACTCCAGCCACTCAGGGCTGCCTTACAACGACACAGTATATGTATAGGTCACACATATGTGCAGAAAAGAAAGATTTCCCCCATCACGGCATGTGCATGCATTGTACATATATATATATATATATATATCCACACATGTGCGCGCTATACCCAGCACTGAACACCACCGGCACCCCGACAAGAGCAGCAACCGAAACTATAACAGCAACAACAACAACAACAACAACGACAACAACAATGACAACAACAACGACGATGATAACAATCACAATTAATATATAACAATAACAAGACTAGCAACAGCAACAGTAACAGCAGCAAGAACAACAACAATGACAGCAGCAGCAGCAGCAGCAACAACAACAACAACAACCACGACAACAACAACAACAACAACAACAATAATAAGAACAACATCAGCAGCCTCCACAGCCACAGCCACCGCCGCCACCACCACCACCACCACAAATTCAACAAACACACAAAACAAAACACCTGCCATAACAACATCAACAGCAACAACAAGAACATGTTGCCGCACTCAACCAATGCTAAACCTTTGCACTTCAGGCCGGCCTTCACATCCTTGGCGGTCGCATCGTCAGGCACTGGTGCTTCGGGAGGATGAATGTTGCTGGCTGCTTCTGCTAAAGCAGGCTCAGGGGCTGGGTCACTTGAGTTCCCGGCCGGAGGGAGTGGGGCACTTGCCGGGATGGCTGCTTCAGCTTGGGGAGGCCTAGCATCAGCGTGGGGCCCATGTGGATGCTGATACTTCAGTCGGAGGGCTTCTGCATCAAGTGCACTCTGCAAGCTATCAGTAGATCCAACACGGATGGGCTCTGCTGGGGTCGCACACTGAAACAGATCCGTGACCTGGGTGTCCTGCGTGTCGACTCGCGACACCCGTCCTTTGCAGCCTCAGAGATTCATGGCTTTCGCATTTTGCAATGGGGCCCTCATGTCATTTCATTTTACGACTTGGCATTGACTTCTAAGTAGACTGGATGTCTCATCATGCGGGAGCTTCGGAGCGAGAGAGAGCTAGAGGGTCGTTAAATGAAAGGAACAAACCGCCACTGAATTGAACAATACAAATGTAAATCAAGTACATATTGACTGGTAGAACTTCGGTCAGACTGTAATCTTTATGAGCATCAAGCGATAGACATACATGCATACATATATATATATATATATGTACACGGTGGACATGGGCATATAGGTATGTATATAATAGACATATGTATATATATATATATATGTGTGTGTATGTATATAAATTTAATACATATAAATATATGTGGACATATATGTATATATACATATATCATATATCTATATCTATATCTATATCTATATATATATATATATATTTCTCACCCCATACGTAAAACAAAACTTTCGCACAACCCACATCCGAACCCTGTACCCCCATTGCACAGACTTGATCCATGACAAAGCCCACCGGGCGTCCCCACAGGTGATGACGTTGGGGTCAGCCGGGAAGAGCTGCTTGGGCTCCACGGTTGGACTCGCTGAGGCCTTTGTTGCTCGTAGCCTCATCGGTGATTGCATGATCTATCGCGTGCAAGTTTGATTTGCACACACCTTTCAGCTACATCCCAGATTGACACATCGATCCTTGCATGCACAAACGATATGAACATACTACCACTGCAACAGCACGAATATAAATCTAAACCTGAACTGAACTGATGAAATGCAGGACAGTAACTTCTCTAACTTGGCCTGTGCATCAGCAAGCAGCTGCTTCAACTCCAAAGCCCGACTGCTCTGGGGTTTGCCTTCTGGAGTTGCATGAGACAGATCACCTTGTCAGCAGAATGTTCATGCAAGATTCCTTTGTCCCTTAAAAATGCCTTAATGCAGCTCATAATAATCTTGTGACTATATAGCTGCGTCAACATAATCAAACTTTTGCAGAACAGGTTAAGACCACCGCCTATAATTACACGCCTAGTCACCGCACTTTGCATGGTGTGGTGAGGGTGTCGCACAAACCGAAGTCGGTGACGGAACACTGCTCGGCACTTCAGCTTCCCTAGGAAACACAGCTTCCTTAGGCAGCACAGGTTCCCCAGGCACCACAGCTTCCCTCGGCACCACAGGTTCAGCAGGAGCTGTCGAAGCCCCCGTAGGCAAAGGCGCGAGCCACACGGGAACCGGGGGACCAGGAACAGGAATCACAGGCTCATCGTTGGCCCCATTCTCGTGGACCTCCTGCACATGCTGTAACTACATAGTGTTTAGAAGCAGTGTGCAGCTTCCGAGTGCTCACCATGCCAGACAGAAACGGACTGAGTAGTGGCACTTACACAGATCGACCCAACATGCACGTGATGAGTCTCAAGCCCTGCATGCTCCCATGATAGCACCTCATCCTCGGACGCAGGCTCATCTTCGTTGTACTTCTGGCGAATGCTGTCGACGAGCTCCTGCAGCCGGCAAAACACAAATGCCCACAATTAGACCGGCTCGGAGATTTCATGCTGTTGGGGTTGGATCATTGTTGCTCAGGTCTGGCATGGTACACAAGCTAAATTAAGGTATTATGTGTGCATGTACATATATATATATATATATATATAGGTGTATGGCTTCAAGGGCTCTGTACAACAACACGATCTCGCTACCCAGAATATCTGTAGACTTATGGAAACAATCCGAGACTTCTCAACTTTATAGGCGCAAGTAGAAGGGACCATGCAGCTGCATCCAAAGTGATGCTGACAACTTGGCTCTGGCACAGAAAATGCAAGGGCCCTGCTGTCCTGAAGATCCGGGTTGAGGAGCAGGCACATCTCTTGGAAATCGTAGACCTGGTTTGGTGGGTGCCGTTGATCTTAATTGCTACTGCCCTTGCTGTTGTTGTTGTTGTTGTTGTTGCTATTGCTGCTTCTGCTGCGTTTTCCGTATTTGTTGTCGTTGTTGCTATTGCTGTTCTTGCTGCTGCTGCAGGCGCCGTGGTTGTGCTGGTTGTTGCGGCTGTTGGTTGGTGATTGTGGTCGCGATTGTGAATTTCTGTTGTGGTGTTTGTTGCCGCTGGTGTTGTTGTTGTTGCTGCTGCTGTTGTTCTTATACATATAATTCTTATTGTTGCTGCTGGTCTTGCTTGGTGTTGGTGTTGGTGTTTCTCGTTGGTGTTGTTGCTGTTGTTGTTGTTGCTGCTGTTGCGTGCACGTGTGTTGGTGGTGGTGGTTGTGTTATTGTTGTTGGCAATGGTGCTGGTGTTGCCGATGTTGCTGTTGCTGTCCTTTTGCTTTGGGCTCAGTACGTGCGGCGTTTATAGCTATATGACAAGAAAACAAAAGGTTCTTCGATGCGATCTTCTGCAGTGCACTCCCAGTCTTGCTATAAATGCAGCTAGAATGCACTGCTGACCTCTTGCCGTTGGCACTTCCGCTTCATGAATGTCAGCATCTTACGAATCTCCCAGGCCCAGTCATCCACTTCGGACTCGGAGCCACTGCGCTGGCAAAGACCCAACAAAGTTGAGATCTGCTCCCGCAGTCGCTCCACTTCGGGCCTCTGGTGGTTGCACGCATGAGAGCGTGCGAGCAGCGGCACCAAAGCTTCGGTGTTCTTGACACACCGACTGACAGAAAAGTCGCCGAGGGATCCAGTCAAGAACGGACCACCAGCACGCAAGCCGGCACGAAGTGGCTCTGAAGAATCCCACTCCTGAGCCAAGCCGGAGCAATCAAACTTCCCGTTCGTCATCTGCACGGCCGGTTGAACCCACGGGCCAGGCGATACTGCAAATCACACTTTCAAGCCGAAATGCTGTGCATGATCATGCACAGAATATTTCAGGAGAGTGTCACACCCCCGACCAAGATTCAAACAGAAATCACATTCATGCACCGATCTAGCAGCTGCTGCGTCTGCATGCTTCTGCAGCTACATGCCTGCTCGCAATTATATAATATTTAATATGCATGGTGATGATTGACGGAAGCTCTTGGGCCCCGGACAGGTGCACAGCTCCAGGTGCTCGATGAAAATCATGCGCACTGCATGAAGTGAAAAAAAGGCTCCCTCGAGCCTGTAATCACACGTCCATATGCATTCGCTGCATCACCAACACGGTGATCACTCCCTCAATGGACTGGCTTGCCCCAATCTGACCCCATTAAAAGGCTTGAAAAACACTCTTTGAGCTAAAACCCAGGTTTTATGATAGACTACCAGGAACTTAGCAACATATGCCTAAAACCTAGGTTATTGGTTTGCAACCCGCTTTAAAGCAGGTTCTGGAAGACGTAGGTTTGCAGTACTCTCTGAGACTGCATG